TACGCTGTGCATGCAGTATTTTAGGGTCTTACCTAGAAGTTTTCCATCAAATTTTAGATTTTTCAAAAAATAATACAGCAACAGAATGTATATAGTGGTGAGAATAAAAGATTAGTTTTACTGAGAAATATATAATATATCAGTATTTTTGACAGATTCAAAATATATAGCTACAGCAGTTAAAATAAGTTTTGAATAAGAGCCCATTTTTCTGAAGTATAATTCTAGAGGTGCTATTGACATGGCATTTTCACCGAATGTCAGTAACAATCCATGCAATCCACACATAGAAAGAAATCAAACCATAGATGTCCAGAAATTAGGTAATGTGTATTAGGAAAAAGTGTTGAACACATGACGAAATGGAGGTTGCAAAAGGCATGGAAAGCCAAGAAATCCAATAGAAAATCTAGTGAATGAGCTAAAAATCAGCGTTCATAGAAGAGGCCCATGAAATATTTAAGAGTTGAAGACTGTTTGTGTGGAAGAATGGGTCAAAATCACATCTGAGGGCTGCATGCAACTGATTTCTCCATACAGGAAGCGTCTAGAAGCTGTCATTGCCAACAAAGGTTTTATACAAAGTATTAACTAAATTTCAGTGTGTGTTCCATACTTTTCCCTGTGCCATTTCACTTTATTACACATAACTACATTTCTGGATATCTATGGTTTGACTTTTTGTATGAGTGGATTGAATGGATTGTTACCAACATCTGGTGAAAACACAAAAGGATATTGCACCAGTAGGAATAGTGGATTGGACACATTGAATGGAGCTCAGGTGTTGCTGGATCCCAGTAACTCCGTGTTATTGTTAGGATTTGGCTGCTTCTCGGCATAAAGTTTTGAGGATACAAGTAAACCAGAACAGAAGCAAAAACAAAGGTGATCATCAGACAATCCTTTAGAAGCAGGTGTTGACTTCATGAATTAATAAGCAATTAATTTTGATCACAAAATCTCTGTGCTGTTCTCCAGTCTGATACTTACAAGTACACAGAGATGCGACTACCAACTTAGCCCAAAGAGCAGAGTAGCAGAATAGCATTATATTGTTATTAACTTCATACAGCATGTTTTTCCAAAAGATGATGTTGTTTGATCATGTATCTATCATTTGAAATTACACTTTGCACATACTGTATGAGGCAAGAGCTTTGGGAGGGATCAAGGCAGGGTTGCAACCAGTGTTGGACGTAAAGGTGTTTCATAATAATGTCGCTAGTAATAGAGTAATGTGTTTTCAGTAATGGAGTAATCTATTTAGTTACTTCTCAAACATTGATAACATAGTGAATGATGTGACTCAGAAGAGATTCTTTCATGGCTCTGCAAACAGGCTAAGTCACATGGAATCTAACTTTTTCAAATAAAATTTGGGCCACATTTGTATGTGTTTTTAAATACAATACAGATACAGGTTGGATCTTATAAAATGTGTCTGCGATCTAAACAGCCAAACCAAGCGATCGGAATAAGTATGACGATGAAGTAATTCTGTACTGATATCAGAACAAGAATAATTAGCCTACAATGGAAAAGAAAAACATGGAGGATAGCGTAGAAGGAGGTGTTCAATGGAGGGACAGTATAATTTTGTAATTAATGATTATTTTGGCGGATACAACAATCTAAAAGAAGCTTAAAAAGGTCATACCATAACAGGTCAGTAGTCTACAATGCTACCTCCTGAAATTTCTTTTTCGAGAGGTCAGTGCGCTTTCAAAAAGCCATAGTTAATAGTTCAACTATCTTTCTCTTGTCTTTCTTTTTCCACATTATTCTACTGCATCATTGGGCTACTTTCACTTAGCAGCTTTAAATCCATCCATAGACACTGACCTCTGACACATCTTGTTATTGGTTTTCTGCACATGCAGGTCTAATCAGGGACACATTTGAGAAGGTCATGTGATCAGCAACAAAAAACAAAATAGAATCTGACAAAAAAAATTAGGATTGAGCATTAAGACCTGCAGGGTGAATATAGCTATGTTGTTTACAGGCAGCTTAAAGCTATCAAAACTCCTCATATTATCTCACCATTAACATAACTAGCTATGTTCACACTGCAAAAACAAGTTGGCCCAAATCAGATTTCTTTGCCCTCAAGTAACTCAGGGGAGATTCTGTCATGACTGCGTGAACATCAGCAAAATGGTTGCATGTCATGCAAGGGAAAAGTATACTGAAGTTTTGCTTAAAGAGACATCACGCTATAGAACATTTTGGGAGGTTAGTTTTTGCTAGATGGCATCAGTTAACATGCTATTTAGAAAAAGAATAGAAATTTAAAACTGAGATACCATCTGAGAACTGAGGCACAGCAATAATACTAGAAATCAAGTCAACAAAAAATTTTCTTTGCTTAGTTTGGTAGAAAATGAAGCAGTGTCTCATGGAGGACACTGAAGCTGTGGCTCACTTGGATACAAATAGATCAACTCACTCCTATCCAACCCTCATAGATAATTGTACCCATTGCAACAGCCAGTCAAATAAAAGAAACCATGTCTGCTCCAAACCCTTTTTTTTTTTCAAGAAGAAAATGCTGTTCAAGAACAGACCGAAATTTCACAGATATTGCTTCATTTATTTCAGTTTTTGCCCAGATTTGTCAGGATAAAGGTGTTAAAGAAAGTTGAAAAAAATACACCTGTTAGTTCTGCTACCTGAGCAGCAGCCCCTCCCCTACATGTGAAAACAAGCAGCTGGAAAATATCTACATATGAAGGCTCCCTCCAGGAAGCAAATGTCTTAACCGCACTGAGTTGGCACCCTAAACAGCTTTCTCCAATCAGAAAGGGGATGATGTGAGGCATAGTGCGATGATTCTGGCTAAAAGTTCGGACAAGTTGCTCTACCGGCGACTTGTCTGAACATTTACAGGACAGCAACTTCTATTTTTTTTAGCTAATGTCTGAGTCATGGAAAATCAGTTCTTCTTCGCAGTGAGAAGTCACAGACGCCGTTGCTTTAAAGGCAAGTGTTACTTTTTGGGGTTGGAAAAAAAACTTTATTTCATAACATATTTCTATCAACAAACCCTGTGGCTTCACCTTATGTTGTTAGAAGGATACAATCTAAGGATTTTAATTCATATTTAGCTAGATGTGACTTTTAATGACTTAAAAAACATGATATTGGACCTTAAATGTATACATTTTGCCAAAGCATCAACCACATAGATGTCAAAATATAATATTTCAAAATATAATATAACAAAATATTTCCTCCCAGGACATTGCCTAAGTCAGAACATGGCCTCTGTTGGCTTACCTTACTTCTGTCACACATCCACACACTTACTAGTGCCGAGTCTTTCAGAGTAAGGAGAGGTACAAGCAAAGTGCCATCTAAATTATGTAAAAAACAAAATGAATTATCAGGCCTTCCCTCACTGTTCTGTGATCCAAATATGAGGAACGGGACAAAAGTAAGCATTCAAACTCCAACCCAACAGTAGCTGCGCAGCTACTAACTCAATCCTATCTTATGCATTCTGTAGTCTGAAACCTTTCATTCAGTTCAAGCATTAACCTCTTTAACCAATAGTGGTCTTAGCTTATAACTTCTACTTCTTTAAACAATGTGTATAGACTTCAACAGACCAGGACCAAAAGCTCCAGTTTTGTGAATATTCTAGTCTAGAGGTATAGTCCACAAAATCTGTCCCTTATTATGCAAACTGGTTTTTTTAAGTTGTCTTCCCCATTCTACTGCTTGTACAGCAACGACTCTAACAATGTAATATTCAGTTCCCTCAACTATAACCCATCATCTTAAAGTGGTTTAATCTGTTTTTTTATTTTTTTCCCCTTCATCTGTCAATGGCCACAATGCTATGCATTACTAGTGTATATAAGAGTTCATTAAAAAATGACTCTCGATTTTAAAGGTGATCATACCAGCTTTGCCTTAGTCTACACACCAAAATCAAGGTAACAGTAAATATATATTGTAGATCATTTTATATTTTTATGATCAATAAAATGTAATATTAATGATTTGTTATTATTTTATTAATCTAATCAGTTGGATGATGCTATCCGATTTAATTTCATATTTTTGTTTAAATAGCATGATTCTGCAGTATGTTTTATCCATGATCATTTTATCATATCATTGGTACAACTGTGGTCATAACAGATGCAGATATAGTTAGATTTATATGTCCATTACTGGAAATTAACTCATGAATGGATGCTTTAAAGTCCCATTTTAGCCCCTCAAATTCACCATTTATTGAACACTTGTTTACTTGTTAGCTCTGGCTCTGACTGTTCTCAATATAATTTTGTTGAATGACCAGACCTTAGGCAATCAACATGTTGTCTGATAACAAACATATATGTACAAAGTAATTTTAAATAAAATTAACCTTTTGTAAAAATAAAAAACAAAACATTTTGAAAATTTTGTAACACAGTCCATGTAAGAGTCTTGTTTTTACTATACAATTGATGTGTCCACAATCCACTTTGTGATTCTGGTTGCTTTTGTTGATATCATTAGGTACACATCACAGCTACATCCGATGTAAATATACTACTTCACATCCTGCTGTAGGCTTTACCAGTCACAGGGGTGCCAACATGAAATGACACAGACACCAAGCTGAACCTGTACATATTTGAGGTAAAACCTTCTGCTGCAAAGGTAAGTCAGGTTTGTGGAAACAAAAGGATCAGTTTAAGAATTTTACATGAAACCATAATTTATAACAAAACTCCCTTGTCTTTCTAGAACTGTATCAAAGTCATTTATTGCCATAATCAGAAAATCCTTTATATATCATGTCATGTTCTCACATTATATTTTAATATTTTAAGTGACTCATGGTCCACTAGATATTGTGTTTTTCTTGTGGTACATATGTAAACATCAGACTTGAGCTGATCGATTTTTGGGTGCACCGTTTCTTTTAACAAGTTGTTTTTTTCCTCCTTTCACAAATTTTCAAAGTATTTTTTTAAATCTTGATTACAGTGGTTTCTGTCATACCTGTGTGGCTGATGCTGCCAATTTGAGTTGTCCATGTTTTGTTAGTGTTCCCATGTCACTGTGGTTTATGATATATTTGTTGATCCCATCTATGCCATTGTCTCTGGGCTCCGACACTGCCCCTGAAATGTTGCTCACGAGGTTCTTGCCCTGCGGGGAACACATTGTCATGGGAATACAGGAGTCATCCCAGTGCTGCAGCTCATGTTGTCCTTTCCTGGGAGTCGCCGGTCGTTGTAGGTGTGCATGTTGATCACTGCATCCGTCTTCACCATGACTGGGGGCTGGGGCTTTTGTTTCACTCGTCTCTCGCAGGTGAACGACAGTCTGATCTCGTCCACCATGGCGCTGCACAAAGACCTCTGGGCAAAAAGGGAGGATCCGGGAAGGGGCACGCGGAGCAGAGGGGGAAAGGGACGGGGGTAAATACCTTAGCTTTTAATTGTTCAGACAGCAGAGGGTTTCAACATTCACAATAGTAGCAAATGGATGTAGAGTACTTATTTATTCTTAGTAGTTGTGTTTCTAATGTGTCAGACTGTCATTAATGGTACACTGCAACACTCTTCCTAGATCTAGTATGCACATAACTCATTAATAATGCTGTGTCAGATATACAAAAGAAGTACAATACAGGAGAATGCATGCAGTGATTCACACCACTTGACCAAACATTGTGACATACATCATTAAAGGGATGATCCTATTTAGGGATCTCCAAAATCAAATAATGGATTAATACTCTGGGCCGGATTTATCAAGATCCAATTTTGCGTGCAGTAATTTGCGCTCGCAAACTGGAATTTTGCGCGAGGGGCTGAACCATGGTTTGCGGGTGATTTAACAAGAGTGATTGCGTAACTGGTGGCAGGTGCAAAACTGTNTCTAATGTGTCAGACTGTCATTAATGGTACACTACAACACTCTTCCTAGATCTAGTATGCACATAACTCATTAATAATGCTGTGTCAGATATACAGGAGAATGCATGCAGTGATTCACACCACTTGAACAAAGATTGTGATATACATCATTAAAGGGATGATCCTATTTAGGGATCTCCAAACTCAAATAATGGATTAATACTCTGTGTTCTAATTTGTAGTCATGCCGGTGGAAATGAGTAAATATTGTAGTGTTATGACCGAGTACTCTAAGGGATTAGTCAATAAAAGCATGCAAATCAATTTATGTATTCTTGAACCAAAACCTATAATTAGAGCACAGCTTTAAGGGTATGTAGAAGAAACAAAAGATATATGATTCGCTGGATTTCACACTTAAGTCCAGTTGCATCTCCACAAAAAAATTAAATCAACTTACTTTTGCAATTTAACCTTTCATAAACTTGAAAATTATATAGTGTAAAGTGGATTTCCAACACATCTACAACAATTTAAAATTTCCACTTTTTTGTTAAAACAAAATGTTAAAGCAGGATAAATGGTTGAAAAGGTTCACTTTAAATATGAAACATACAATTCAATCAAAAAAAGAGAAAAAAGCTATTATTTGCAGAGAAAATGTAAAGCAAATGCAAAAGATGTCTTAAACTAATATTTTGATTAAGAGCCTTAGTTTATGAGTCTCCAATGGTAGGAGTCAGCCAGGATCCCTCATGTTTAGTCTGATAGTAATGGGAAAAAAAATGAAGACTTAATTTTTTTCAATTGTTTGTATTGTTCTACTCTTTTTGAAGTCAGCGCTATGCAGTAAAAAAGAGTTTTCCAAATAAAACAACCATTTAACGTTGAAAAGTTTGTTTGACTATGGGGAAAATGTCTTATTTTATTTATTTCTAGAGATCTGTTAGCTCATTGAAACCAACTGTACAATTAAAAAACTTTGATTTTCTCCTTTTGAAGTCATTAATTAATTCACGTATGGCATAAGCTTAGATTTACTGTGATGTTTTAAAATAAAACTCCCTCCCAAATTTTTTGCATTCTAGAGAACCCATGATGGATTTAGGTCAGACACAGTCATTTTAAGGACTGTTTATTATTTATTCTACTTGGACAAAGCAACAGTTGCATAAAACAAAAAAAACCCTGACCATGATGCTGCCACTATTAGTTTGACTACAGGTGTGGTGTCAATTTAGTGATGTATTATGTCGACATAGCATTCAAAAGTCAAAGTTCTGTTTTAGATTGTAAAGTTGACTGTATGTGTGTAATTGCATACGCATGCATATATATCTTTATCAATGCATGTGTAAGGATATTGCCATAGCATTGTAAAATAAATGTAATATATTTGATTAAAAAAAAATTAGAGTATAAACGAGTGGAAGTCAAAAACAGGTGTTTTAAACTTAATCTAACCTCTTCTTACAAGATGGCTGTGCCTGTAGGCAGCGGCTTGATACAGCTCCAAACAAATATAAGTACAACATACGCCACCTAGAACGCAACAATTAGACATCGATCCTGCTTCTATGACCGCCAGGGCCTGCTGGAGCTTTGGTCACAAAATGTAGTTTCGGGACTCTTAAATACAGCCACTCTTGACTGTTTAAAAAGCTGCAGAGTTCTTTGGATGAATGTAAACAAAGCAGCTAGCGAAAGAACCAGGCCACGCCAGGAGAAGCTGAATGAAACGATGTGCGAGACGATGTAAGTGGGGCTTCAGAGGCGGGTTAACAGCGAAGCTGAGAAGGAATACCCACAAACCATCCTGCTTTCTAACGTCCGCTCACTGGACATCAAAGTGGACAATCAAAATGACAATAAAAGTTATCTAAGTCTAATGTTTATTGCTTACATCTATTTTTTTTATAATATGATATATGGGTTAAAATGTATGTATTCTATGTGTTTTATATAAATTATATTTTGTTTGTTTGAAATAAATTGCTTTCATTTATTCTGTAAGACTGGTAACTTTCATTCAAACCCTACTCTTTGGTTTAAGGGTTGTAAAGATTCAAAAGCCACTGTATTAAGTGTACATAAAAATTTTGAACACAATTAATAAAATAAATTAAGCTATTAATATTCAATTAAATAATTAAAATCCAGCATTGTATTATCAGTTTTTGACCAGCGTTGCAAGCCACACAGTAAGAATCAAAATTGATTCATGATCTATGAAGATATATACCTGTTCGCGTTCAGCAGTCTTCCTCAGCTTGTAGATAAATTCAGCAATCGCCACAAAGACAGATAGCACCAGGCCACATGCCAATACAATGAATATACCACCCAGGTTCTGGATCCCCATGGGGCCTGTCTCACGACGCTCCTCATCCAAGCAGCTGTTTCCACTCCACCACTTCTCCTTCAGAATGTGGAGAAGACCATCCTCCTGGATGCTGAGGATTGCTATGCTGATTTTGTCCCTGTATGGAGAGCCTGCAAGTAACATAAGGCCCATTTAACTTTGGATGGATTGCCAGCTGGACTATGTGATAATAAGGTTCATAAACACATTGTGGCACAGTGTCTGACTAGTAGCTGCTTTTTAATATTATATTGCTGGTGAATCTGAAAGAAATTCCTTACTCTCATCTTTCAGGGAAAAAAAGACCAGCATAACTTATGAAAAGGGCTTTAATTTTTTATAAGACTGGAGCTCTGGAATGTAGTTTTGAGGCTGTTCATATGTCTTACCGATGGGAGTGCCAATGCCATAGCCTTTGCTGTCAATAATCCCTCCCACTTGTGTCAGGTTACAGTTTCTCCTAGTGATATAATCAATGGTGGTGGACTCTGTAATGAGCGCATAGTCAGACTTCAGCACCCTCTGAACTCCATCTTCAACAGATTTCACCAGGGATGTTCTTGGCCTGCTGCTCATGAAGGCCCACATCTTCTCAAATGTCGAAACCTTTGATTTCTATGAGGGATTAAAAAAAAAGAAAAGATGTAACAAAAAAGAATATCTGAACTTGATTTAATAAAAAAAAAAAAAAAAATTTAAAGCTTGAGGCAAAAAATAAGTTATTAGAGAAACACACAATATTCTAATTACCATAGAAATGTTGAACTTAACAAAGCAACTTTTTTAGTCTAACAGCCACATGTGCTTTAGGTAGAAAAACAGCAAACCATAAAATGGCTTGTATGTTAGAAGCCAATAATACACCTATTGAGATTTTTTGAGGAGTAAAATAATGCCAGTGACTATAGGGATTGTATATGTAATTACTCACAGCTCTTGGTGTTATATTTATTTAAAAGCCAAATAGATTTAAATGATAACTCCTTCAGATCTCCATTACACAGGATTAAAGGACGATGAATTGAAGCTTTGCACACATCTATTCTCATAAGTGTTACTGAAGCAGCAATAATAGAATGGCGTTCCATTAGTCTTGCATCAGTCTATGAGGTATTTCATGCAATTTTCTGTGAGGTCACATTTATGCCATGTCTAATCCAAGATAATTACTGTCTAATAACTATAAGCCATTTCAAATTGTGCGAAATGCTATTAAAAGAACTCTGCTCCTTATGTTAAATTCAGCAGCAGCCCAGTCCTGGCTATCTTGGAACAGATATTTTAAGTTAGCAAAAAACAGCTTTTTATTTCTTTAATAAACTTTAACTTCCACTTTTAAATAATGTGCTGATTTTTTGTGTATATTTAAGTATGTAAAATTGGTAGAAGGGAAATAATGTTAATTTGTTTGCAAATGTTCTGGAAATAATATTCTTTACAACAACAATGTTAAAATGTCTGTAAATAAACATCCCAACTTAGTGATTAGCTTTACTTATGTTTACCTAAAAAGATACATGTATTTCAGTTTTAGGAGTATAACTATTTGCTTACTATGTGCATGATATTTTTTTTTTCTTTGAAATAATTAGAGAATTAATCATCTTATAACCCCTTTAAGTGGGTAAGATTAGATACGCAGCAAGAAACTGGCTGCTGACCAGATTTGATTTTCATTTTGAAAAGGCCCGACCTGGGGCCGGCCCAATACAACAAAATTCTTCGGTTTGCAGGTTTTTAAGTTAGTCAAGTGAGTGAAAAAAAGACTGAAATTTATCTTCTTTTAATGTCAGGTACACTAAATGTCTGAAATAAAAATAAAATAAAATATGCTATAGATGTTAAAAGCAATTAAAAAAGCAGTTTTATATCATAAGAGAGCAAGACCCACCGCTGGTAACAGGAAGGCTACAGTAAAACAAAATTTCTGCTTTTGAACTTTTTCATCAAACAGTACTAAAACCATTTATGAACTGGTGGATCAAAACAATGTAAGGATCTAAATTAAGACTGAAATTCAAACACATGAGACTTTGGAAATACTAGCAGTGACAATTTTGCTTATCGCTCATAAACATACGAGATAAAAGATAATACTATTCTTTGAACATCCTATTTTACAGTTTTTTTAAATCAATTTCAATAAGCCAAAATCAGAAAAAGCCAAGTCAAATAAGACTGACCAGAAGTAATAGACAAAATTCTCACCGGAAGATTTACATTCTTTATGATCAGTACTAACTACTTTTTTTTTTTTCTGTTTTATTTAAAATAAACCTTTTCAGAATACAAATATTTCTGTTACAGTTTATCTAAACGCTAGGAGTTTTTTTTGTCTAAGTTTTTTAACTGAGTCTAAAACCTTATTTTTTATTTTTTACCTTTTTTTCTAATCTGTACTGAGGACAGCCTATCAGCCAACAACACCTGCAAAATCTTGTGTGCTCCACATCCTGGTTTCACCAACATTCATCAGGCTTTCTTTGCCTCATTGAATTTGCATCAGTAAGACTTTCCTTTGCAGAGGGCCCTTGAGCCACTTATAATTAACCACCTGTTTATTTTGTTCATTGCTAAAAATTCTTAAAGGGTATGAATAATCCCCAAACGTTTTTCAATCCATCTATTCACATGTCGGGAGCTGTCTTCACGTTCTACAATTTTAATATGTTGTGATCTAAGAGCAAACATGCATGTTTATAGCATTATACATGTATTGTATTCAATTAATTTCATTTATATAGTACCTATTTACAACACATGTCATCTCAAGGTATTTTACAGAGACAATTGAACCAGATCATACAGTCAAATTGGTTAAAAAGTTTTCTATCTAAGGAAAACCAGCTGATTGCATCGACTAATTGACTCAAAAGCAATCCCTAAGACCAAGCATATTTGTAGCGACAGAGGAGAGGGAAAAACTCCCTTTTAACAGGAAGAAACCTCCAGGAGAACCAGGCTCAGTGTGAGCGCCCATCTACAGAAGCAGACATAGAAAAAGAAGCATTATGTAGATACACAATAAGGTTTTATGTTTAGTATGCTCTACAATCTGTTTTAACTGTTATCGTTTCTGCAGTCTTTTCAAATTTGCATATCAAATACACACACTTATCTGCTGAAGTTTGGACTGTGCACTCATAAAAACAAAAAATTTCTAAATTTTGTGAATTCTAATAATTTTTTCAGAACCTAAAATGACTGTTTTCTACACATTGCTTATCTACCTTAAAGAAAGCCATTGTTGCTCCATCTTTGACGACACCATACTCAATCTTGGTCTGCTTGGCCATGTCGTCTGCTGAATCTACTGACGAGTCCATCCTCTCCACAGTTAAAAAAGCTGCTAAATTAGCAGTATAGGAAGATATAATAATGAGTGTGAAGAACCACCAGATTCCACCTATTATTCTGGTTGACAGAGCTTTGGGCATCAGTTCCGATCCTGTATGCAACACAACAAGAGAGAGAGAAACATTCTGTAAAATAGTTAAACAAATGGAGGAACATGACTGCTTGCATTTTCGTTAATTAGCTTGGAAATGCTTTTGGCAGTGTCACTGCTTCTCATTAAGGTGCTGTCAGTTGGTAAATGGAAAATAAAAACCAGCAGGGCAACTTAGCAAGCTATAGGCTAAAAATTAAGAGCAACCCCCCCCGCCAAAAAAAAACTATTCCTATACAAATATTTTCTTATGTTTTTGCAAAACTACATGGATGGATGGATGGATGGATAGATAATTGTAACAAAAATGGCTAAAGGCCTAAGGACTAAAATCTCAATAACATTCTAATTCAGGTTTAGCGTTATAAATATATTTTTTTCCAAAAAGTATTTCTGTAATTAAATTAAATGAAAAAATTAAAAAAGAAAACCCATGGTATAAAGATTCATTACAAATAGATTGGTTTGGTTTAAGTATATGTTTTAATTCTGATGATTTTTACTTACAGTAATTAAACAAAAAATAATTCTGTTCAGCAAAAATGTGTAATTGAAAAAATCAATGTAAGCAATTTAAACACACACAAATGTTACAATTTGGCTATTTATGAGCTAGAGAGGGTAGGCCTACACTAGCTGCTCACACAGTGCTTTATATCATATAAGATTCAAATAAGACTGACCGGAAGGAATAGCCTGGACAGTTCAAAAACATTTTACCTGGGCTAAGAAAAAAAACAAAAAGAAAAGAAAAAAACAAAGACAACTAAAGGAAACAGAAAACAAACTAAAAAACTCAATGATAAAATTAATTCTGAGTTCTCATTAACAGCTAGCAATAATCATAAAAAAAACAGATGCTGGGAATAAATTATGATGTGGTCCAAGAATGATGACAGGATTTCATTTTTAAATGTTTTAATTTTTTAAATACATTTAGTTGGCTAAAAGGCACCCCTTCAAGCTTTTAAACTAAGAAGTGTTTCCCTATCTCCATCATTTATTTTCATATCTTATGGGGTTTAGCAAAAGAACACATGACTGAAATTTGAAAACCTATTAATCACAGCCCGCATAATGTAAAAAAAGAAAAAAAGAAAAAAGAGACAACGAAATATGTTGACAGAACACCTCTGCATCTACGTTGACTTTGAGTGGGCCTCTCTGAGCAGTACTATGTTTACAATGGCTCGCTGACTGGTGTTAAAGTTACTTTATATCTCATCTCTGACAACCTTTAAAATACCCTTGTGCTTTGTGCACTCTGTTACTTTACTGGGAAGATTTATGAGGGCAATTCTGAAGAGTAACAAACCCACAGAAGGCGGGCAGCCTGGTCAGCTCTTTAACCTCTTCTACCAAATTTGATTGGATTTGTCCTTTGTGGTTTGACAAAGACTCTACATGGTTGCAAACAAGGGAAGATAGAAGCCTCCCTTAATTCACTATGACTTCAGAGAGGCAAAATCCAGATGCATCCTCTGGTCACACTAAAAATGAAGTGAGGCCATGGTTAACTCAATTGAATTCCACACTATAAAGCGCTGTTGTCAGCGGGGAGCAATATATGGCACTGCATCAGAACACTCCAATAAATACAAGAAGCAGATCAGTCATATGGTGCCAGCAATAAAACGGTGGCAATATACAGTATGATACTGATCTCAGAGGAAGGCTTGTTGTTTGTAAACCAAGTCACTTCATATGTTCCCACACAGAGGACATTGTTCACACTATTAGCTGTCAAAATATGTTTCTCTAGCTGCTACACTGTCCACCCAAAGCAAATAATAATGCTTGATTTACAGATTTAGAAGACATATTTTCACATGTTGATGAATTTTATTGTAAGCATTATTTTCTAAATCCATCTGATTCTGACCAGAATTCACTCCTTTGACAAAATGTCTTTTTGTAAGCTCAGTTTGCACGTATTGTGACAGTATAAAAGAAGCAAACGCTTTCCAGGTATTATCCCAATCTTGTCAGTTCTAGATTTATTGGGTCTGAGTACGGCAAAGAAGCCAAATGTTTACATTTGATTTGTTTACATTTTATCACTGCTGTACTTTATAGAAGTACAGCAGTTCTGAAAGCTGTAGAAAATGTTCTGAAAGCTGTAGAAAACGAAATTTTGTTTTGTGTATACAAAATGACAATAAAAAATGTCTAAGCCTAAAGTACGTTTATTTTTGGCTGAGCAAATTTGTTGGTATGGCACATTTCAGCAATATGACAATACAAATGCGAAGACATAAACTAAGGCAGGGCAATATGGCTAAAAAGTTATTTATCAGATTGATTTTAGATCGATTATGATATTTCTTGATTGTTTTTTTTTTTGTTTTTTTTTACCTGTTCGAAATAAGAATCAGAGAAAAACATCAAATTAAAATTGTCCCCCCAACCCTATTTAAAACATTTATCTTTCAAATAGGTGATCCCTTCATGCAAATTTGCTTTGTTTGGCCGTGAGAACTTAAGAGGCCTCTACGTACATCCCCCCTCATTGAACCTTTCATCGAACATATTTTATATTTATATTATATAGTCAGCTATCGCAAATATATTGATATATATTGACTACACATAAGAAGAGAAAATATAAAATAATTTTGCAGGGGCAGAGGCAGGTACATAAAGACATTAGTACAAACTTTAATAATGTTAACGGTTTAAATGGAAGTCATGGACAATTCTATGCAAACAGGATTTTAACCTTAATTTAAAGGGTGAAGTATGGTGACACTTTAGCAGCATTTCTTTTTCACTGAGGAAGATCATCACAGATTGATAAACAATTTACTGTACCACCATTTCTTTTATATTTTCACAAAAAAAAATCTTCTAATGCGTTGGGCTGCAGCAACTAAAATCACATTATCTTCTTCTATTGATGACTGTATACTAACTGTCCACTACCTGTCTCCATCTTTAGACTAGCTACTGTACATGCTGAGCCGTTACTGTGACTAACTGTCCTTTAGACTTAAAACCAAGCCTAGAGCTCATTTACTTTTTAGATGAAGCCTCTGAAGAAGCTGATGAAGATTCTCAGTCATCCAGGTCATAGTCATTCCGTAAAAGTTCAAAATCTTGGAAACCTCTAAAGAAGCCACTACTGCTGGAACAGTGCTTCTGTGTTATATGTGAATGTTCTGTGTGCTAAGGGGTAGTTTTCCTTTCCAATGTAGCATGAGGCATGCTAAACAATTCCAAATGCTACAAAGGACACATGAAGGTCAATATGTACCTTTTTTTTTTTTGTTAAAATAATCTAACTTTTTTTGTTAAAATAATCTAACTTTTTCATTGATATCAAGAAAAAAAAACTATTTCCTTTATACCTCAGACATGCCAGTATACCTTATGGAACTTCAATGCTGGCAATCGACCTGCAGAGAAATATAAACAAG